ACCTACAGGACAAATAAACATTTGGCTGTTGATAAGAACTTGCAGTATTGCTGCAAGTATACAAGCTACCTTGTTTGCAGCTGGCTCAACTGTATCTACACTACCCTGCAGTGTAATATAGCGTATCTTCAGCCAGGCAAGATACAAAGGGCAGCAAATAAGAGAAGCCAGTGTAAGGGTGGGACAGTAACAAAGAGGAGCGTTGTGCCTAACGCTCTGGATCCAGCCAGTGAAGCTCTTAAGCACTTTCTTATTTCAAGCAATGGTAAAAGCACTGAAATCAAGTTGCTGTAACAAGAGAACCGTCAGCTGTATGTGCAGAAACAAGACAAGACAAAGTTATATACAGTAAATACAAGGTTTTTGCCCTTCATTTCTTTGTATCTGAACCAGTAGAAAACTAAATCAAGGCCCAAATTCAAGCACTTAAGTACTTGGAGAAATAGAATCTACTCCAGCTCTACAGTCCTGAAATAAGACCAAATCTGTGGGACTCAAGTCTCTTAAACACAAAACAAGTAGTAATTTGGTGGAGTTCCTTCTTCAGCACATGAAACAGCTAAAGCCCAGCCACAGGAGTTTAGTCCTGTCAATTTTGGTACTTTGAAGGGAGAAAAGAAGTCAAAACGACAGAGGTTAAAACAGTGAAGATAAAAGATAAGAAAGAACACAGATAGTGAAGAGGGCTGGAATCATCAGATTGTCTCAACTACTAACGTTGAGACATTTGATACGCAGGCATGGGAGAAGTGTCAGGGATAGAAAGGTTGTGGCCCTGGAAAATAGGCAAGTAAAATTGTCAGGGATGTTAGAAAACAGTCTAGAGGGAGGTAGGAATAAAAATTACATCTTTGAATCTGAACAGGTCTGAGACTGTGGCTGGATACTCAAGGAATCATCTGGAGATAGAACTATGGGAGAACCAAACTGGGGAAGGAAGCACTGGATTTTGGGGGCATTCAAATTAAAGTGTAAAGCCAAAAACTTGAAAACAAAATGGAGGGAGGATGTTCAGATACATGAAATTAGGGGATGACAAATGGGGAATAAAGGGCAAAGTATTAAAAAAGAGAACCAGTTAGGATGATGGGTGCCATCCCCTTCAAGACAGAGGAAAGAGAAACTTGGTTACTAGTGAAGGAAATGAGAGGAGGATTTAAAGAGGAAGAAGTCATTCAATAAAAGGAGTGACACACATAAAAGATAGAGAAATAAAAAGGGCAAACTCGTATAGTTAAGAGTCAGAGAAGCCCAGTTCAGAAACAGATTCTTAGAAGTAGAACAATTCTGAAAAAGACCTCATCATGCAAAAGTCAAGATTAGTTTTGAAGACACATTTTGTATCAAGAACGAATGGAGAAATAAAATGAACAGCAAACCTGCAAGCAAGTTCAACAATAAAGAAAAAAAAGGTGAGATAAAAGGGGTTAAAAAGTCCATTTGGAAAGAGAATTAAAACAGGTAAGGCAAAGCTGAGCCCAAAGCTGTGTTGTGCTGACATACTCTTCAGAGATATTCAGAAAGGCAGGAATGGAAATTAAGAAATTACAAGAAAAAAATGTCTGGGGACAGGGCAATGTGAGAAGCAAGCAAAGAAGCCACGTATAGAGAAGCAGATAGAGATGAAAATAAAGACCAGTGAGTCAAAGGAAGTGAGGCCAATGAAGGAAGGAGGCAGCTGAGAAGAGAAAGGAGTCAGAAAGGTTAATAGACTGGAGATCCCAAAAGGAGTGAGTGACAGGGTAGAGGAGAGAGAAAGAAAGATAAGCTGAAAGAGAGCAGGTAGTGATCAGAGAAAGGGAATTTAGAAATAATAAAGTGAACAGTATTTAGTAAAGACAAGGTCATGGGAATGATTGGAGGCAGTGAGAAAAACTGTCTAAAACTAGAAATCAAAGGCATTGGGCTGGAAAAACAGACTGAAGAACAATGGAGTTAAGTACTTATCAGGGGGGAGAAAAAAAAAAATAGGGCTTGCCCATGGTGAGGGATAAAATTTGAGAAGACAGAAATGGGTTGAGTTTAGCAAAGTCACAAAGAAAGAAGCAAACTAATGGTCACTAGGAAAACTAGACACAGAGGACTTCAAATCAGTAAGAGGGTAGAGCAGACAACAGGACAGATGAAGCAGAAGCAGTGGAAGACAGGAATCGTAGGACTTCAGAAGTGAGTATGAAAGGGAAAAAATTTCTAAAAAGCATCAACTGAAGAACAAGGTTCAGGGAAGGGAGTAAAGTTTGAAAAAGAACCTTAAAAATCTGTATTTGAGTCATGTTTGGAAACATAAGTAACACCCCACTGGGCATGCCCAGCGCCTGTATTTCCCTCCTGGGGTGATCTTGGTAGAAAAGTTTTATTAATTTATCCAGACCAAACCAGAGATCAGAAATTCGGACAACCAGCACTGCCACCAGCTAGATGAAGTGAGGGTATGGCAGGGTTGGAAGAACTTTTGACTGTTAAAGAAGTATTAAAAATGATGGAAAAGCAGTGATTTGAACTCTGCTATCCAGCACCTTTACTTCCAGATTAAATTAACTCTCCACAAAGCAAGACTTGAACGCCTTCATTGACTCTCCCTCACACCAGCCTCCTGTTCCTAGAAGCTCAAGTACCTGACACAGCATTCGCCACCAGCATTCAAATTCAGCCATTAAGATTCTCGTCTCGCTGTATAACAGCGAAGACAGAGATTAAGTGGACAGATTGCTGAAAACAAACATCACTGCGATTTTGGGTCCCATTCAGAGATATCTGAGAACCGCTGGCGTAAGAAGTCCTTCTCCATTTCCAAGGCTCTGTCAAGAATTTCACTCTATGGCTTTCTTAATCATGAGCATGAATAAAACACCAGCCTTCTCAGACACTTCTAATACTGTATTTCATCCTCCGGTATATTGGCATGTTTTTAAAGTTTCTGCTCATTACAAAAAGACGACATACTTCTATTGCCTGCTCGTACAATCGGTAGCTGGATCATTAGAGTGCAACAGAAGAGGGGGGAAGAAAACCCCACATTATTCCCTGCTACCAATCCAGTGACATACAGAAAGTATAAAAAGTGAGCTGAATGCATCATTTCTATATACCCTACTGATTACTATTTATTCATGTGTGTATATGAGGTTCACTCAAAATTACCGAAACTACATGAAAAACAGCCTACCTATAAACAAGAGTTCACAGGACTGGGACCATAACAGGAGCTCTTCGTTATTTTTATGCTTTTCAGATATTTTCATATGGTTTGAAAATAATTTTAGATTTGTTTTTAGATTTTTAGATAAAAAACACTCTTTTGGGTTAATTGTGAATATATCCAATGTAGTATTTTTAGAAAAAATTTTGACAAATAATACGAAAAAGATTTTTTGAATGTAGTCTTTTGTTACAGTCAAGAAAAAACTCACCTATAATAAACTACTGGAAGCAGTAAACTGTCCACAAGATAGGTAGCATCTACCGTAACAAATATACATATCTGTAACAAGAAAAGTTTGAAAAATATCATAGAAACACTATCATTTTTATATTATATTTAATACCTGTATGTTTTATTTCTATTAGACTACTGCACACAGACAAAGATTTTATGCAATGTCATTCAAAGCACAAAGTTCACTCACGAAGCAAGTTAATACTGTAGCATTACTGAAATAGAAGGAGGAGCTAGTCAGACATTTTGATTAGAAATGTAAGAAAATAAACACGTAATGCCATAGCTTAAAATAAATAGTGCCAAATGCTGCCACCAACAACATACGAAAAATAGAACGGTGTTTTATAAAAGAAATTTTTTGTATAAGTGTATAGCACACATGGGAGTGTTGTAACTATCATTTTCATATGTTACTAGGTGCTCTTCTTAGGGGATAGACTCTACAGTCCCCAGTTATATACGCAGTTCTATTAACCCATAAGGGCTTCTTAATCATGAAGTTTGCTGCCAGAGTCTTGTACCATTTACAGTCCCCAGTTATATACGCAGTTCTATTAACCCATAAGGGCTTCTTAATCATGAAGTTTGCTACCAGAGTCATTTGTACCATTCACTTTACAGATTTTAAAATAGGAACAACTATTTCTTGTCCTCAGCACAAGATTTAATCATAAATACTAAAAAACAACAACAAAAAAATTTAAATGCTTAAGTATACACATTTGCTAACTCTTAACTCATGTTTTCGTTACTCAATGTATCCTTCCAGACAAGGCGGGGGTGGGGGGGTAGAATCTATTATTGGTTTCTTTCAGGAAAAGTTCAATACTTGATGCATAATATTAGATGCAAATAGCCTGACTGTGTTGGGGGTTTTTCAGTGATTTTTAAATGTTCTGGTACATTTCAGAAAAAAAAAAAAAATGGTTTGAGTACTTGTGCATATTAAGAGCTAATCCTGGCAGTCAAGCAAGTATTGTGCTGCCTTTTCCAATACAAACCATTTCATTCTGTGACATATGAACTGTTGTTACAGAACATAACCATCATTTTTAAAATTCAATAATCAGATAATAAATGAAAACAAATCTAGAGGTTGCTAGACACAAACCAAGGTTTCTCAAATACTTCCTCCCTACAAATTGTTCCACTGAAGTCCTACAAGATTAAGTACACACAAAAGCTAGAAGAAAAACTAAGGATTCATCCTACAAAATCTGGAAACAAAAATTTAAAAAAAAAAAAAAGGAAAAATGTATTAAGATAGGCTGATGATCTGGCACATACTATTTAAAAACTCCTGTATTTTGCCAAACACCATTTCCATAGTATTTGTAGTTTTAAAAAATACAAAACCAGAAAAAACTCTGACCTAGCTCGAACATTTCATCCACAAACCCCACAGTTGGATTTTTATTCTTTGAGCATTATATCAAATCAAAAATTAAAGCTGCACAGAGAAACAAACAAAAAAAAATCTGACAAAAATTAAAGCTGCACAGAGAAACAAAGAAAAAAAATCTAAGCGTGCAGGGAATTGACTGCATCTAGAACCTGTATGTGTATGTACATACTGCTGCTTTTATTTGAACTTCTTTTTACCCACATAAGGAAAAAGATTTAACTGACCGTAACAGCTTCTTAGCAATATCACTGGTAATAATTATGTTTTGACAGTTCTGTATAAAAAGTTCAGTCTTGAAACTCAAGAAATTTCAGTCCATTCTCCATTTTTACCACATTTAAAAATAAGACACCTTCCTTCCTTAACAATAAAATATTATTTAAGCATACCCAAAAATGTACTAAGGTCTAACAAAAGTATTCTGAATTTCCTTTTCAACTAATAAAGTATTTATAAGACATTTTGCATATGTATTTATTTCCCAAATTAAGGATTGGCAACTTTTCTCTTAAACATAAAAGCTAAAATTTACTTTTGCTAAATATAAAACTAATTCTCAGGATACAGTATACAAAACCAGATATTCATAAAGAATATATTTTGTGTTACACTACACTATTATATCTTTTCCAAAAGGTTTCTGTAGTTAAAAAAACATTTTAAAATTTAAATATACTGTAAGGTCATTCAAAATATTTTAAACACAAAAATCTACAAACAGTGACATACATAAACAGCTGGGAAGTTGTAACTTAAAGATAGCATCTTTTAATCAGACCTTCTCATAAACGCTAGCCTCAGAAGAACCCTATTTGCTACAAGAAGCATCTGCATGGTTTTAAGACTTAACTATGCAGACTCCTATTGCCCCAGGGCAGTGCTGCACAAGTCTATTGAAAACGATCAGATTGCAGAAGCCACACCTTAAATTTTCCCAGAAAACCGCCAACAAATGTTTTATGTGCATTATGACAGAATAACAAAACAAAAAGGGAAGTTACAAAAATTTCAACGTGACAATTTTTCCTGAAACTGCTTTCCCACCACATCTGGCAAGCAGAGAACTAATCCTATCACCTGTCTACTCTTACACTGAGAACTGCAAACTACAATTCAATATAAAATACAATAACCTTCTATAATAACTATGTCCCTCTTAGAACAAAGACTAAAATAAAGTTACCTGTGCTGATTCATACCTTCCATAAATTACTAAAAAGGTGAGAGATTCAGACATTTTGCTTCTGGATAATAAGCCTAATATCTGTATCATGTGCAAAAGTGCAACTGTGTTTTAGAACTGAGGCCCAACTGAACACAATTTTGTTATTAAAGAAAATATACTTGAACCCACTTAACATGGAAAACAGTGGTACTCGGCATCTTTTAAAGTTTTGCTTTACATATTTAAACCTCTTGTAAAACTGCAAGTTAGTAAAAAATATAAAAAATAGAAATAAACAGAAAACAACATAGCTTGTATATAAATTGGTTTACAATTCAAAGCACAACAGTAAGCTTCAAATAATTACATTTCAGTAACACACAGAGGTGGGATGATTTACTTAAAACACTTGGTTATTTCTGCTTTTTTCTTCATGGTCTGATGTCTGTTTAGCTGCTCGCAGTGTGTGCATGCATACGTTTCGCTACATCATAGACATAGGTTATGTCTGGTCGCTTCTCTGGATCCGGGTTGATGCACATATTAACTAATTGTCGCAGCTAGGAAAGGAAAATAACATGTAAGAAAGCCAACAATCATGTCAATTAGTATTTGTGCATTATTAAATTCAAATTAATGAGTGGCAAAAATTAGCCAAACATAGCAATTCTGCATAAACACACACACTCAACCCTCCCTCTCTCGACACACACTGCACACAGTTTTATGCAAGCATGTATGCAACATATTCTCATGATTTTTACATTTTGTACTGTTGTCCAGAAAAACTGATGAGCAGATTTAAGTTCTAATCCTTTTAACAAACAACTTTAGACATGTATTTAGTCCCATTATACATCATTTAAATGAAAATTCCTGTGCTTTTGGAGGGCTATGCCTGCAAAACGCAGAAGGCTGAAACTCTCACCAGGAAGGTAAATTGGGACTGCTTGCTCATTCTCTCCCGATACAAAAGTTAGCCAGCAATAAACGGCATTGCTGCGTGACAGGTTCCAACAAACAAAAGGCAGTGATTCTCCTTATAACACACAGTTAACCTGCAGAACCTCCTCCTGCTACAGGCTACCAATACACACGCATTCAGAAAGCGACTGAACAAATTAAACCCACTGAGGGCTATTTAATATAAAGACTCCACCTTTGACTGAGGAAATCTCTGAACTTAAAACTGGAAGCTGGGGAAATATTTTGGGGAAGTATCACATTACGCCAGCCCTGTTACTCCCACTTGCCCAATGTTGGAGACATGATACTGGAATAAATAACCTTTGGTTTATGTCCCAGTATCTATTCTTAGGATTAGATCACTGACTTTTTTCTTTATGTAAAGAAGCACATAATTAACAAGTATGTTCACAGAAGCCTTTACCTGGGAATAAACAAATCACTACGACTAGAAAACCCCAATTTGTTTCCACAAACACCATAATTTATCGGGCCTTCTATAGTGCACATATTCAGCAGAAGCAACCCAAAAGAGCTTCCTCGCCACTCAGACACTTCTCATTGCCTCCACAAATTGGCAGAACAGTTGCAGGTTTATCTTCCTCCCTTGATATGCCTCAGGTGACATTAGAACTTAACATAGTCTGGATAACCTTCTGATGGGGCATCTATTTTAAATTGTGTGCATCTCCTAAGCATTTCGTAATGTGGAATACACAAACAAACAACAAAAAAGCCAAACACCTTGAGATCCACCCTTCTATGGCAATATTTCAAATTTGGTTCAGTCTCCCTCTCAGTACTATTAGGTATGACTACTGAAAAAAATCTGTAATTATTGCAACTAACACAGAGCGACCTCATCACCATGATTATTCAAAAGTAACATAGATTGTATATTCAAATCTGCCATCAGAGAGTTTCCTTCCTGCTTTTTATAAAAAGACCAAGAAGGATTTTAAATTATAATTATACTCCTTTCACTTTTCAGAAGATTAATTTAAATACACAGGAATAGGAAGTCCAGAAGTTAAGTAAGAAACATTGCATACCACTATTTAAAACTTTGTCCATTAGCCCTTGCAGAAACATTGTAAATTGTATACAATGTCCAGGTTTTTCATATTTAACAATACAAAAACTATGTCACTAGACAACCCCCTTCTTTAGCAAGAAGAGCTTAATATTTAAGAATGAGATCATTAATTCTGAAGATAGTGGTCAGATTGCTGAATTGAAACATATTAAATCCAAATAATCTGTAATAGACTTGCTATTTGAATCTTAAATATGCTAAGTGTATTTTGACTAATGGAGTTATAAAAGCCATCATATTGCTTCTGGCAGCCGATAAATAAAATACAATGCCACTGACAGGAAAAACTATTAGCCTGTAATAACTCCCAATCATTTGGAGAACAGAATGCTGGAAATCACGAACTATTGTAAGAAATAATAATTGCCAACATGCAATACAAATACGCAAAGCAAAACAATCTCCTGTAGAAGAAGCAGGTGGGACACAGTGTAAGCAACAGGCACAATGTACTAGCAGAGATGAACAGCTTGCTATGCAACACCTCAGACAGCCCGCATGGAAAACAGGAGAGACTGAAGAACATCCAAAAACCCCAAGCCTGAAATTAGACTCACGTAAGTAAACATTTTGTAAAGAGAATACAAGTGTAATTTATCTGGAGAATAAGACCTCGAATCTTGTACGTATACATTTATCTTTCTCTGTGAAGACTTCCATCTGTTCAATAGAACTGCATACAGTAAATAAAGTCTTAGTAAAAGACTTTGAAGGATTAAAACCTATAAAGCTATGATCAGACGGGAGACAAAGTATTCTTTCTTCTTTTTTTACCAGCTGTATATCGATAACTTTACTGTGGGTACAACAGCAGAAGTAGACCTTCAAGAAATTTACCCGTGAAAAGCATGAGAAGCCTTGTTTACCTCCAGTAGGCTACTTCATGTCTTTTCAATCCTGGCCTGTGGGTAACTCTGATTTTGTTTTCTAAACTGAACTTTATCATCTAAAAATCAATTTCAGACTCAAACTGTTTGTGAAGTCATTAAACAGGAAGCCTTCCTTCAGAGTTACTTTGTTACTTCTTACAGTATATTACAATTCAAAGCTTCAATAAAACGGCCAAGAAGATTCATTGCTTAGAAAGACACTGTAGAAAACCAGCATCATTACTCAGAAGTACGTGTAAGGCTCTAGGTCCTATTAATCCCTGTAAGTACACTTGCAAAATCCATTCACCCACATGTTGTCTTGACCGGTGGCTTTTTGCAGCTTCTTATTTTTACTTTAACCAAAATGCGTATGTAGCTACTATTGTTAGGATACAAGAAAGGATCTGCAAGAGTATGTTCACAGTAAGGGACAGTCACTGAATCAGTTTACTCAGAAATTCTCTTCCCAACACAGTGCAAGAGGTGAGCTCAATTAGTGACGAACCTTCACCATTACTGTAATAAAATAAACCAGAGTCATACATCTCTTCTGGCTATGAGTCTTAACATTTAAATGTTGGTCGCTGCTATAACTGCAAAATCTCCTTCCCTGAGCTGCCTATGCTTGGGACACTGCACAATGACAGTACAGATTCCTGAGTAATTTCAAAATCCTTGAGCTCTTTTGAGCCTTCTTATTGAAGAGCAAACCGTTGGGAGAAGGTGAATTAATTTTGCGGTACAGGATGAAAACAGTTACACAGGAAGACAGCCTTTCAGGACTGAAACTGGGACCATGCTGGATGTTAATGCTTGGTTATAGCACTATTCCTTTAACTCCTACAGGAATATCCATTTCAATAAATCTGAAATCCATTTGTCAACCCTTCTAAGTATTAATAAAATTTCCAATGTAGCCGAAGAGCCTGACAGTACCATGGGAAGAGGCACTGGGATTCTAAAGTCAGAATGTCAGTAGAGAGAAGAGTAATTTTTTATTGTCTGGCACAGACTGGCCAACAGGCAGAGCAGACTTATGACTGAGCTGGAGGGACCTCCTGTTGCATCCCCAAGCTGCAAACTTCTTCAGCTGCTTATTGTTCTTAACCTCCTCTGTGCACCTAGCACAATGACTGTCTTTAGCCTGGAGCTTAGCCTGACATCGGAGCAGTGGGACACACTTTCTTTAACTAAGGTTTTTCAGCTATGAAATAAATATCACTCAAGTCAGGAGGAAGGGGGGGTGAAAGACAGAACTATGACAGGCAAGTACTTTGCATTGTTAGCCAGTTGAAAAAGAGAAGTTTTCATACAGGAAATTTTGAATGGGAAAAAACCCAAACTCTTCTTACTCTGAATAGGAGACCTTCCTGAAATCCTTTCTCCGTGGTTGTTCTCAAGCCCTTTCGCTGGCAACTAACACGACCATTCTAGACCTGCTGGCTCATCCAGCCTTCACACCTGGGTAGGAGGTTGGCTATGGACTTGAGAAGAAGTGCACCTCAATCGAAGGGGAGACTGAAAAACTTCATCTATCATGAAAGCAACATGATACTAATATTGGCTGACAGGATTTTAAGAGTATTGACTGGGGGTGGCAAGGGAGGCCCAGAGCTTCGAATTCCCTAAAGCAGAACAGCTTTCAGTAAATGCTGAGTACTCACCCTGAACACCAGCCGCTCTTCAGGAATATTCAAAAATTGAAACATCCTAAGTTGTTAAACATTTCAAAATCTTGGCTTATGACTCTACTGCTGAAGCAATAGTTTGTGAAAAATGCATCTTAAGACTATTAGGATTTCTAATCAAAGGTTCTAAAAAAATTATCCATCTGTCCATCTATCTTAAGGTGTATCTTTCTGTCACGCTATTCTCTGATGACATGGATGTCATGCATTACTAAAAGGTTAGTCTTATAGAGAGTTCAAAATTTAGAAAAACTGTCACATCTTAAAACTCATTAAAATTTACTTACAGAAAGTTTCTCTAAAAAGCACTTGTCTTGTATTTTGTAACAAAAGTATTTACACTCCTATATCACAGGATGCAGAGATCAACACTCAGTGAAATTTTTCTTTCAGAAAATTCTTTGTTATAAAATATGAAGTGGGTTTTAGTGTTCAGTGATCCTTGATCTTTACTGCTCACTGAGTGTGCTTCCAACCTGGTTAAAGGTTTGATATCTAAATTTCCAGTACAGGTGAAACATTTAGGACAGTATCCTAATATGATAGATAACGTTTGTTTCTTTTTTTTTTTTTTTTTTACAGTTCATGCCAGCACAGTATTTTTTTCATACAAGTAAAAAAAGGTATATTTTGGTGCAATAACTAACAAACATATCTATTTTTCCATATACCTTAGGGAAGACACAAGTCTTCATATCAGAACACTAAAAAGTTCCCATTACAGTCTCCATAGTTGATTACTTCTTTTAAGTAACTATTTTCATACCTCTCTTCATACCTATCATAGCTCCAATTCTCTCATTATGTTTTAAAATAACTTATGTGTATTTTGCAGATAACTGGTTTATCCAAGGTGCAGAAGCAGGCGTCTGCTTTCAAATAAAGAAAACCTAACATGTTGTGCTTTGCATCTGTTTTCAGCACTAGAAACTATACAGATGTAAGAAAAAGGTGGAATCTCTTTCCCCATCCAAACTCTAAGACCTTCTATCTGGGCCAGACTTTGATATTTGCCCCTTGGCTGGGAATCCGCATATCCAACTTCACACTTAGCTGCAGTGAAGTAGCCCTGCAGGCAGGCCAACTTCAACGAACCACTAGTGGTATCATCATTAAAATCCTGCTGAAGGTCACCATGGAAACCGCCTGCTGAGGCTTCGCTGCTGCACTCGGCATCTCCTAATCAGCTACCATGTGAAATGCAAATTCAGACAGTCTGAAAATTAGTCAAGAAGAATAGAGGATGAGGATGCAGATATGTGAAATATTCATGCGCTTCATGGAAAAAGGAAGACAGCATGAATGACACAACAAAGAACGGCCCCTGACATTCCTGCTATCATTTTGCATTATTGTTCACACCCTACTGTATTTCCAGGCCTCCAGTTCTGAAGTTGGTTATATGAACTGCCATATTTATAGTCTGCAACAAATAATAATTAAAAACGGCCCAGGTAAAATGACTAATTGGAAAACCCACAAAGAGGTATAATGCATAAATTACACAGTAGATCATTATTTCATCCTTTGCAACGTCACTGAATTATCTTTTGAAGTCCAGTTTTTTTTCATAGAAGGGCAAGAATTGTCACTGTAAATACAAAACAAAACAAAATGCTGGGCAGTAATCTTTTATTAATAGTCCAATCACTGTCTTTGAATGTAAAAAAATAAAAGGTTCAGAAATACAACCCCTACTCTAAGTGAAATTGCACATTGCTTTATGTTTATTAAAAGTATTTCAGTGCTCGTGTTTATTTGCGTTTTCAAAGTAATCTTTAATTCATGTAGGCTGAATTCAATTAGAATTGGTTACTAATACGTGTTCTTTGGTTTACAGCTTCTATCAGTTTGCCCTGTTCTTTTCAAAGTGGGAAAGTATTTTGGCATCTCAATCTCAGAACATTAACAAGCAAGCGTTTATATTTTTTCATTCTGTTACTAGCACTAAGAAAAATATTTAAATTTATTTTATTTAGTTTCTTTTCATTGTAGAGCTTAAAAAAGCAAGTACCCCCCCTTAAACGCATTAATGACAGTAAAGAACTGTTACCTATCAGCTTAAAACAAACACTGCTGCGATATGCATGAGTATATTGTTCGAATTCAATTATATTATGTCTGCCTACATTTCTCTGAAATTTACTATTAGTGTTGTCAAGAACCACTCTTTCTTGCAACAGAACTGCCATTCAATTGTATCGAACGGCACATCGCAGTTTTATAATGCAGACAAATGGGAACTGAACAATTCATTTTTACTAGTGAGTTACATTATACCTATTTTAATGCAAGCCCCTAGAGAAACGAGGCTAGTGCACTAATTTACTGTGCAACATAAACTTGTATAGTTGTGCTTTTAGAAAAGCATACTATAGATGCAAGACTCAATCCCATTCTGGCACATAGAACAGATCATTGGGCATTCTGGGAAAGCATTTTGTCATACTTGCAAGGAAGCTCAATGAAATTAAGCAGCTAACAGTATGAGGTTTCCATCATTAATCCCCCAAAATTTACAATCATATCAGAGACTTGTTTTGACAGGAACATTTGAGCGAGTTCAACAAGCAAACACTTATGGGCATAATCTGCAAATAACATAAAATCACACAAGTTCATTTACTTCCCTGGAAGTGTGCCAGCTTACATAAACTGAGGATCTAGCCCATGAAAAGGAAAATTTCTTACTTCCTCTGAATAGTGATCTGAAGGGAGAGGTGGGTAGTCACACTGTTCTATCTTCTTGCACAGGGAGTACAAGTTCATTTTATCACCATAAAAGGGACTCTGCAGTGCAGCCATCTGTTTAAAGAAAATGTACAGTTTTCTTTTGTGTTTTTAAGTAAACCTGTTTTGTCATAAAATCTGTAATACTAACAAATCAAAGTGATTTTTAACGGCTTTCGATCCCCTGCTTGGAAGTGTCACAGTGCTAAAAACAGAAGTTCCAAAACTATTACTGTAACCAGTGTGTGTACTTATTCTATGTCACACAGTAGTACCTGTCACAATCCTTATATTGCAATATTCGAGTTGCATACCGTAACAGTTTTATTAATAGAGTATGAGGAGAAATTGAGTAGTTTCCGATACTGCTGTGGGCGTGGAGGGCCCTTGCACCAGGGGGGAGACAAAAAAAACCCAAAACCCACAATGAAGTTTTCCTCTGAAGACCTTTTGGAAAAAACACGTAATTTATTTGAAAACACTATCTGATCTAAAGCAATACCGTATGATGAAAATGCCGGATAACAGTAATAGATTTTGTAACCTTCCATAGCTATTACTAGACTTGGATAAAGTTTGTTTTGTTTTTTTAAAGCAAGAAAACTAAAGGTAATGTCTATGCTTCCAAAAAAATCCAAACACTTCGTAATTCAGTATGTTATTTGAAAATACTTAAAAAAAAAAATCCCAAAACATCATCAGAAGTGCAGAACTGGCACCCATGACCACAATTTACAATTGTAATACAAAAGTAAGAATATCTGTTGGAGAGCACTTAAATAAATGATCAGCTTAAACCTATGCTTTATTTCCAGGCAATGTTACAACTTGACATTTAAGGTGGAAACAAACGCTATGGTTAGCAGGATTACAAATTTAAAAATTCATTTAAAATATCTCCATTCCGTTCAAAGCCTTCTAAGTCTTTGAACCGCAACAGCATGAATGCTGCTTTGAGCGCAGTGCTGCCCCAAAGTCAGTCACCCTTTTCTACATGTGCTAATAAGTTTGATTTTGGAAGGACAATGTGTACATTCCCCAGACAGGCAGAGTGTGTGTGAAACACGCTAGTCCATGCTGTGCTACTCAGTGAGCTTCAGCAGGGACAGGACAAGCTGAAAATGGCTCTCATCTGTCTTGTGGTCTTCCAGATAGCAGTTTAACTCTTTCATGTCTAAGCACCGATATCGCTGGGGGAAAACGTATGAAGAAAATTACCAAAATTCTCTTACATTTACTTTATATCTGATAAAAATGCTCTCAAATAGTTCAGTACTTTCGCATATTACCTTCGTGTAAGAATAAATAATTTTAAAGCTCGCAAAACAAATACCATACTACAGTTCCACCCTACAATCCTCCCAAAAATTCCGTAACTGTATTACCAAAATAATGTTAATTTTTAGATTTACATGACATTGTCTCTTACCTTAAAAAGAATGTTAAAAATGCAAGCTAAAGGCCAAAAAGGAAAAGGAAAAAAAAAAGAAAAAGAAAAATCAACTGCAGGATCTGTACGCATGCAGAAATTCTAAATAAATGCACAGATACTCATTTTCCTACTCTAGGTGTTCATTAAAAAGTACTTTTGTTTGAATGCTGCGGAGTGTTAAAAAAAATTCTGAATGTCCCCTAAGGAGTTAAAACAGGAATACTATATTTTCATGCATCTCCTGCTTTGACAGATGAAAAATGTCAACTGTCCTGTTTTTATTTTCAAGCTTTTGCACTATTCATCTGGTTCATTAGTGCATCTCGCTGCTGCCCCTGACAGCTGCTCGCCCTCTCCTCCCAGCAGCTGAATTTTTCAGGCTAATTTGATCCTCCACACTGAGACGATCGCTAGAATGATTGACTTGCTCCCTGACCTCCAGGGTCTGACTTTCCTGATTAGTATTCTGGGGGTGTCTGAGGGACGAAAGCCCACTGTCTGTCTTCGGGGCTGGTGGCAGCTCTCTCTCTCTCTCTTTTTTTTTTTTCCTTTTTTTTTTCCCCCTTTTTTTTTTTTTGAACTGTAAGCCACCAACCTACAACCCTGTAAGGATGCAATTGCTACGCTGAACAATAAAAGGAAATGTGTAAAACCTACTTTTCCATGTAAAGGTCCATGTAGCAAAAGCACAGCATCTTGATTTTAATTAGTAAAGTCTACTTTGTTGCATATCAATTAAAACTCCAGTGGTAGTGTTTTTGAGGTTTCAGAAATACCTGGGGCTCTAAAAAAAAAATCAGACTTTAAAATATACTTTTAAAAATCTTACTGGCCACATAGTTAGCACTGAATAATAGACCGTAATATAGGTTAAAAATAATAATTTTTAAACAACATACATTATAGCAAATTAGTCTAAACTTAATTTAAAACATAACTGAAAAGAGTTTAGCAGCAATTAAGCATTTATTGAGAAGTGATAAACATGCCACAGCTTTTCTCCAATTAAGCCGGAGAGAATCCAGAGCACATATGAGCACATAGCAACATGAAATCAATATAATAAAACATGCCAAAATGCGGGCAATAGCATTTTAGACATACCACAAAAAGATAGCCAGCACAAAACTGCACGGATAATACCTTAAGTAACCACTTTCAAATAAGGGGGGGGCGGGGGGAAGAGAAAAATGCTAAGCATATATTTGAGTTTACTATACCGAAAATTTCAAAATTACATCTCAATGATCAATTAAAAAAAAAAAACCACACACACAAAACCAAAAAAAAACCACCACAAACATCTGGTATGTTGTAGAATTAACTAAATGGGATAAATGCACCTCTAAAAAAAAAATAAAAGCTATAATTGAAGACACTGCCATATACTGTAGCTATATAATAGATATCAACAGGAAGTATCCTAATAATTACTTTATTCTTACAATAAGGAAAAAACACAGACACAACACCATATCAACTTAAATACCATCCTGGTGAAACTTCTAAAATAAATAAAAAGAGAATGGTATTTAAAGATGCTGAGTTAATCAAGGGAATTAAGATATTCAGCTATTTTGAAATTGTTTACCAGATCAAAGAAAAATTTAATATTCCTATAGGTGTTTAATATACTGTACCAGCATCAAAACAGCGAGCTCAAAAAAACCAAATTTTCTTCAGAAAAGTGCTATTGATTTCTATCCAGCAACTTTCATATAACACAGAAGAAAAATTAACCTTAAAACATGTTTTATATAATAATCAGTTATTCAAGAGTTTTATTTGTTTGTTCCCAGATTTTTAAAAAAATTCCTCAAGAAAACCAATGAGGGGAAAAGAAATAGCAATACTGAAAAATCCTCATCTACCTTTATGCTATCTTTAGGCTCCTGCTTGCACAAGTGTGTAAAGCAGAGCACTGAAATTGATGGCAGTTGCCACGGCCAGTACTAAGGAATCCCAATATGGGATTAAGTTTCAGTTCAGGATTTAAACTTCTAAATACTTGTTATCAGGTATCAGACTTCATTCCTGTGAATTGTCCCAAAGACTTAGAAGCAACAGCTATACACAGATCTGTAAACTGCAGAATTGCAATATAGCTATTTGCCCTTTTAATATTTAAAGCAACATGTTAGTGACAGAAAGTAAACTAATATTACTGGAGACAATTCACCTAGTAGTAACATACAACTTTAACAGGCAGACAGTGTTTTCTACAAAATCCTAAAATAACAGGAGGTGCCGATCCTGCTGAATACCTGTTAAATGAGTTCTGCTGACTCACTGAGGCAGGTGGCTTGCAGGTAAATGAAAAGTGAGCTGGGTATATTAGTTTTTATCTGGAACGTGACTAGAAAGACTTCACTGCCATTGCTGATGGAAAGAAATTTTTTTCCAGCATCCTTCAACACAAGTGTTTAGTCTTTTGATCAACAAATGATACGCAAAGAACTTTGAAGACGTAGTTGCCTTAGAAGCCTACCTGTTCTTCACACCTTCATTCGCCTCAATTTCAATTTGCCCTATATCTTTACTTTCTTAGAATATGATACCATTTTAAATTATGTGTCACCTACCAATCTCTACCATATTAATACAGAAATTAACCAATAATTATAGTTTAACTAATTGGAGAAGAAAGAGTAGAAAAATTACATCTGTGCAGCAGAAGTCATTATCTTGAAAGTTAATCCAAGCTAGTAGTAATAAGTACACAGTAATCCTTTTTTTTTTATTGTTTTACTTAGGTTTTAAGTAATTTTAAAGAAATTAAACTTGTATTAAAATAACTACATTGCAGTTTTTGAAAGCATTAGTTGCATACTCATCAGTCCCACTATTTCTCAAGGCATTTATTACCAAAACCATATAATCAGCATAGGCCATTAAAACACCTAGAACAATTTTACATGTGCTTGCCATTATTCATTTATTAATCCTTCAGTTATGCCCAGTCTTCAACAAATTGCTATAAAATCTTTGTAGCAAGCCCAGTAAAAGGCAAGTCGTGAGTAGCACACAAATAAAAGTATTTCATACGCTGAAGTCACATAGGAATTCTCATTGCTAATATTAAAGACAGACATATAATAGCTGAAAAGTAGCTTTTCCACAATGCTACATACTTTAAGCACAACAGTGTTAAGTTCACTGTATATATCAATATTACCTCATACAGCAGACAGCCTAGAGACCAGATGTCAGATTTGAAGTTGTAACCATTTTCGTGTATTCTCTCTGGAGACATATAATAAGGTGTACCAACTGCAATAAATACACAAGTATTTTTGAATGAAAATTTCTGGTTTTATATAGTAGTAAAAGTACGGGTTTCCTGGCTGAAAAACATTTTTCATCTTCTACATTTCTCATTTCGCTACACGTACAATTTCAATTCATACTTATGAGTCTTCAGTTTGATAGAAATACACATGAATTAGATATCTATTTCATCCAGCAGAGCTTTATTTTCACTACTGATATCTAATTACCAGAATTACTCAGTTGTAGAATACTTCCAATTTTTTGCTTTTAAAGAAGCTCAAAAATAATTTTCTTCTGAAGAGAACCAAGGGAACATACTACATGCTCTCACACACACACCACACCCCCCCATTCCTTTCCAAACTGTTATCACTGTGGCTAGAAACAACAACAGCTAGAAATTCTCGTCCATGGCTTGAATTATTTTTTTTTAATGAGTTATCTGTTCTTTCTTTTGAGAATATACAAATCTAAAAAAGCTGCTTTTGAAGCTAATAAGCACAATTTAGTTTGAATATCTGAAACTAAAATTAAGCCTGAAATCCAGGATCTTCAGCTTCCCAGAGAGGAAGGCAGGAAAACCTGCGAGCCCAGCAGAAGCCGAGGTTCTTACGAGCAACTCGTCCATCTGCTGCAGGACTAGACACTGCGAGGGCTTTTCAGCTCCCAAATCCGTGGCTGTCCTAGCTTAATCCTGCCTCAGAGCTGTGGGCTCTGGAGACGTCTGCGCTTGAAAAGCAGCATTTACTAGGACTGTCCCAGAGCAAATTTGCATTGGATACTCCGGGACATCTCTCCCCTTGATCTTAATCAGACCCCACCCATCTCTGTCACAAGTTACTTGGAAGAGATGTTTCAGCTCTGTAAAAAAAGCCATTAAAAAAAAGTATCCGAGTGATGGGTTCATATGTGACAGATCAACAAAAAAAAAGAAGTCACAAAAAATAATGGCAGTGGCAATTTTGGTGCATTGCCTCTGAAGTTTCTCCCTATAACCACCCAAAATGACTGCCTAACAGCAAAAAGAGTCACAGATCTGTGTAGATTTTTACTTCAATTTTGTGTGGAATATTTTCCTAAGTCACTGAGACTGACTGCCTAACAGCAAAAAGAGTCACAGATCTGTGTAGATTTTTACTTCAATTTTGTGTGGAATATTTTCCTAAGCACTGAATCCTGATGATGAAAACCAACTGGATTCTGTCAATTCAATACAAGTTGACCTTATTTCGAAACTAAGTATCTTGCAACACAGCCAGAGATTAAAATCACCACTCTCACTGCAAACTACGAAAATTAGAGTATGAACCTCACACTATTTTATTTAACAAAAAGATCTCCTATCACTTCTGCACTTCTGAATTAGCCTCATCTATTCAGAATTCATCTCTGTATGAATACTGGAAACAGAGATATAGTGAATATGTAAGTAATTCCAAATCTGAATAATCAGGTTAATAGTTTTAATTAATCAGATTAACAATTTTACTCTAATCATTTCCAAAAGTTAAAGGTTTTGCTTTGACAATGTGCCCTATCTTTTAGAAAGGCTGACATCTCAAACTATGTCATAATTTCTTGGGGGGGGAGGCGGGAGGGAGGGAAGTACTTTCCTACTTGAAAGGCCCAGCTCTGATTGGGAAACCCAGTACCACCTCATCCCAGGTCAGGCCACTGCTGCTGGTAGCCCGTAATTTCAACTGATCTCCTTCTCGGCAAACAATATTGAAAACAATATTCCAAACCAATATAAACTGAGAACGTGCTTCTCTAACAGACAGGCAAGGACCGAGGTCCCATATTGCATCCTACAATGGATTTGGCCCCCTAAATATTCTGGGGGAGACTTCCAGCCCTGGGAAAGCAGAGGCTGCCGCAGCCCCTCTCCCCAGAAGCTCCCTTAGCACTGGCCTGAGGAATCACTGCAGCTCTGAACTGAGACTGCGAAAAATCAAGAGCTTAAAAGGAGAACGGCTGGGGAAAGGCAACTCAAAATGATGGAGTACTGTGAAAACCATTTACCCTCATGGGATGTTCGTATTCACCCACAACAGAGGAATGGTCAAGAGGGATGGTCTTTTCCCTGCGAAAGAATAGGCACGCAGGTGGGTGGACTGCAACACCAAAATAGCTACCAGAATATCCAGAAGCAACTGTTATTCTAATGTATCAACAGCAGTACTTTAATGGGTGTTTAATGACAGCTGTCTTAAAATTGGAAACTGTAATTAAACAACATTTGGCATGACAGTTTTCATATTATTATCATCCTTACTGTTGTACTTCCCCCTTGAATTTGTTTGTTTGTTTTTTTTAAACTCCAAGGACTTGTGAGCTTGGACAGCTCTGAAAACTTTCAGCTGTATTTTGCATCCATTAATTAATGCACTGGTTTAGTATATTCTGATGCTTTGTTGGCAGAATTCATCTAAAAAATACGTTTAATAGTAATCTGGTTCTTAGCTGGTTACAGCAGCACTGCCTTTGCTGCTCTGAGACATCACGCAAGTAGCTGGCAGTGAGTAATGTGCCAGGAAGAGGCTTCACAGAATCCACAGGGGGCAGCTGAAAACACAGAGATTTGAAGGTTCATAGTTTACCAAAAGCAAAGGTAATTTTAACCAGTAGCTCTGGGAAGCCTGCTGATACATTAGGGGTCTGATATGACTGTGAAAGATTGATGATAGTGAAAAGGAAGAACAAATGCTATCATTTTACAACGTTTAGCCTAGTGTAACACCTTAACTGCAATACAACCTGAAGCCCCCGATGACCAAGTGAAAGGAATTGAAATCACAGTTATGTTAGTCATTGAATCACAAAAACAACCTGAAGATCTAGACATCATTACTACTTGTAAACTGTTTTTAACAGAACATGGCATGCAAGGTTCATTATTCTGACATTCAGGAACTACTGAAGGCATTGCAACGATTCTTTAAAAGTGTGAGCAATCTCAATAGGTAGCTGTACCGCTGGCAAGCAACTACCAGATGTGATTATACGTTACGTTTCCTTCCTAGATTTTTTTTTCCTTTCTGTTAAGCGAAACACAGCATCACAATACTATAAAAGACATGCGACTTACTTTACTCATCTGAAGACACAGAAGTGGGATAATACAAGACAAAAAAGTAACATCTTAAGGTGCCTATGTTTTTAAGAACAAAACCTGTAACTTTAGCACTCTATTCACTGCATTTGCACATCTCGGATAACCTGCAGGTCTGAACGGTAATCTCCTTGAAAATGGCCTGGGTCAAATAAACTGCTTCCTCAGAATCTGCTGCTGCTCAGGAGCTCCCTCCCTTTAAAGATGCTGCAGATCCAGAAACTGTTGTTTCTTTAAGCAAGCTTTCTGCTATTGGGAGAGGCAACGCACATAATGGAAATGGTGATTATCAGGGGACAGGAAGCTGGATCTGAAGGATCAGAGGCAAAGAAACTATTACGAAGGAAGTTATGATATAAACAGTCCATCTTATTACCTGCATAAACACATAACTCACGCTGCAGCTGAGTTAAAGAGGAGAGCGTGTTCACCTGAAAACCAACAATGCATCGAGGAGCTGAGTGAAACACAGTAACTAGCTCTAAGTACTATCAAGCATTTTTAAGCTGGGAGAAAAATCTGCCTGGTAAATGTTAATACTACTAATACAAAACAATGTAATGGTTGATTCAGAAGGTGTTTAATAGACTAGGTTTAAAAAAGGCCATATAATTATTACTGATGTTCCATGCATTAAAATACGTAACTATCCAAGTTCAGGAAGGGGGCTAAAATCACTTTAGTAACTCTTCTGATGTTCAAAGAATTCCAAAACTAGACTTCAGTTAAAAAAAAAAAGGCCAGATTTATTTAAGTAATCAAAAGATACGGTTTATGAATGACTTAATGTCCATGAGATCACAGGAATTTTATAACACAGAGTTCAACACAACATGCAAGTGCTTAACAAGACGAATGGTTGATGCTGAAGATAAACAAACTAAGTTACAAATAAGGTGCAGTTATGGAACAGTGAGGGTAACCAACCACTGACATGACAAATTCTCCATAACCATTTTTTTTTACTTACTTATTTTAATATAGGTGTAGGAGATTTCTAAGTCATAGGCTCGTCTTCAACCACAGATACGGGACCTAAAATACTGCACTTATCCAAAGTAATTCTGCAACCTAGCCTACATTATGCAAATAGTCTTACTGCAGAAATCAATCTATAAATATCTTGGGTTATTTTATAATGCAGCATTGTAACAACACAATATATCTTCAGCTTTCAAACTCCTGTAAGAGATCTCAGGTTTTTGTACATAAAATAAGAGCTGTTTTAACACAGCTTCTTTGAGGACTGCCATGAATCAGCTGCAGTTTTCCCTGCCAGCCTTCCTGTACACTGAGGGTGCAGGTTCTCAGAGCAGTTTGGTTGAGAGCATGAAAGTGGAGCTTATTCTATTCACAGCAAAACGGTGCTGCATACCACCACCTCAGCACCGGCTTTGACACCCTCTGCTGGGTCAGAGATCCATATCTATGAGGAAAGGAGAGTATTTGCACGCATTTTTACAAGGTATTTTATTCCCCACAACCTGCATGAGTTTACAGTCAAATCCCTATAACATAGCTCTATGCTGGGGACAGGAGTACGATGGAAATGACAGAAGTTGTCAAACTGCAGAAGAAACCAGAATTCAGTACAGATGAATTTCAAGCATTTTAAGACAACTGCAGATCTGTCCCTTTGCCCTGCAAGAAGGTATTCACATCATGGCAGCAGTGTCTGCCTGGACAGCATACCGTGCGGCCCTCCAGCACAACCACACTGGAGAACTGATTTTTTTTTTTTTTTTTGTAATTGAACTACTACAATATGGACTATCCTTAAATCCACTGAATGGCTAACAAAGATGATAAAATGCACATTTCCATGAGCTGGCCTCAGAATTGCCATTTCAAAGAGCATAAGGCCTGGCATTCAGCCATTAAAAAAAAACAACAACAAAAAACCCCTAACACACACAGTCATAGGGAAATGAATAAGAAGCCTTTCTTGGTTCATCTTCCCCTTTCTAATAGGAAGTCTTCTGAAACCAAGAAATTTTGTCAAGTTTGTATGGAATCAACAATACCAAATGCCACCATTTCCTTTGCACTTTTGGAAGGAAAATTTTCTATTTTCAAAAAGGTATATACATGCCACAACAGAAAATTCTACTGTTTTGATAAGGCTGCATAGAAAGAGTTAAGAACATTAACAAACCCTGTCCAGTGCAGTATTTTCATTTGTTTTAAATGGACCACCAGCAAGTATTCTAATTAAATCAGTATTATTCATAATTAGCAGTTAGAAGCTGTAGCTAATGAAAATTTTAGTACATTTCTTTATCTCTGAAATCTACTGAAATTTTTATAAAGCCTGTAAACAAGTATAAATTGCTACACATAATATGTTTGTAATTCACTGGGTTTTGTGCACCAAAGGTTTATGGAATCATAAAAAGATACAACTTTGAAAGAAATTTCAAGAAAACCAGCATCAAAAACTGCATGAGAAATTAATGTTAAAAAGTGGTCTCTGCTAGTGACATGATAAATCAGAGTGTCACTGTCTCCACTGTAGCCTAAGTTAACAGCTGAACACAATCTTTTTCCTAGGCTGAATTCTGACATTAGGTCATAATTAGGAGGGAAATGGGAGAAGAAGAGATGGGGAAAAAAGAAAATAAAAAAATAACAGATCCTCTACCAAGACACAGCACCCAACATCAGAAACAAAGCTTCCATCCCCCTACCCCTGCTCTCTGGATGGCTCTTGTATTTGTAAGAGGTGAGCTTTAAAGGGCTTGGGGGTTTTACGCTGGTTTTAACTCTAGCTCAGTCTTCGGTCCCTTTGCAACCATTCCCCTGCAACGAGCCAAAATAACCCAGTGTTGAAGCAGTTTGTTCCTCTTTAACTTCCTGACTTCTACCTTAGAACACAAGTCTAGCTCTCCCACCCTCACAACTGACTTTTGCCTTCTCCACGTGCTCCTGCCCACAGATTAGGATTCTCAGCTTCCTGCAAATACAGTCCAGGAGCAGCTCCCTCTTCACACTGCTCATTTACATCCTTCTTCCATTCGCAGGCAGTAGCAGGACCCAACTACGACAAATAAGATCTCCACAGTGCTGCCAGAGACGGCCACTGGGCTACCACGGCAGCATGAGCGGCAGCACTTTAGTTCATGGCACAGTGCATTATATAGTGTCAGATCTTTAGGGTTGTATCTGAACTTCGACGTGGAACCCAAGCACATTTCCAGTCTGGTTCCACTGTTTCGCCTCTGTCTCTTTCTCTCTCTTTTTTATTAATGCAAGATTGCACGTCCGTGTCTGAGTTTCACCTCAGTCCTATCAAGAACTCAGCAGTTACTCATGGTTTTGAGTATACCAGTATCAGCATGCACCAAACATGATAAAAAGAGGAGGGCACAAAAGAGTGACCAAAGGCTTTCTAGAACACAGGGAAGTAAGGATTATATCAAAAAATTTCCTTTCTAAAATAGTTTTTTTTTGGCTGTTTACACAAGTATCGCCCACACTTCAAATGTGGTACAAACATGCTGAACATCAATCCTCTCTCTTTTTCCACACTGTACCGATAACTGGGACTATCTGAATAAAGTTAAATTAAGAGGTGAGGATAAATATGGCATATTTTAATCCAAGAAGTCTGATATTTCGTACTCTAATTAGAAACATCAGCATCTGAGCAAACACAATTCTTTGTGTGTCCTCCCACGGCCCTAAGACAGGGATTGTAAGTATTACTTAATATCTAAGAAAGCCAAGAATGGTTATCTTCCTTACCATGCACTCTTGTCAAACATATAAAAATATCCAAATGCTTAATTACAGAATTGTCACCATCATTTGTTAAAAACTCTCACTGAGCAGCAGTTGAATTGATTTTACCTATCTGTATTCAAGTATCAGCAAGGTGCTCTGCCTGCCTCAATACGCTTGAGAAGGAACAGGAGACAGTTCTGGATGCTGCCATCAATGGCCCTGCTCAAGGGGACTAAAAGTTCATTTCACACCCTTTGCAGACAGTAAACAGGCTTGAATTCAGCAACCCACTAAACATAGCCACTCCAGCGGGGGAAAATAATTTTTTTCTTAACTAAAAAAACCTACATAACCATACTATAAACACTAATTCTTACATTTCTCTTTAAAGCAGATGCTACTCTATTTACAAAGCTTTTCTCTTTTAGAGATATTCTCTTAGATTCCGTCATTAGTCCATTCCCTATATTTAAACTTAAAATATCTGCCAAATTTTTACTTTTTCTTCTTTAAAGGCTTCTTAATCATCCTAGTCTCCACATGCTACTTAAAAGTTGCAAATTATATGAAAATTTTGTTTGGAAAAGATAATACAATGTTATTTTTTATGTGCTAGCAAAGAATAAATTGGGCATTTCAGAAAGTTTTTTTCTATTCTTATAAAAATAATTTTTCCGGGATTTTTTTGTTTGTTTTTTGGGGGGTTTTTTGTTTTGTTTTTGAAGTCTTTGTGGTTCATAAAGCCTGATCTCTCGTCAACTTACTTAGCTTATATTGAGAAACTCCACCTCAACACAGGGAAACTCCTCTATTAGCCCTTTCAAAGCATATAACCAACATGTTGTCAATGCTACCCATACAGGGACACAGAATTACTAGATTCTTTCCAACACTGATTAAAGTTCAAATAAATTTTAAAAAATGCATCCATATTATTGATCTTATTTTTTCCTAGCATTTCTAGAAAACACTACTGTCATGAAGACTTGTTTTGAGCCTGGAATGTACATTAAATGATTCAAACAAAGGCGGGGGGGGAACCAACGATCTGTACTGCTGAAAGTGACACCTCAGTGTTACAGCTTTTCTGTATGTGTCCATGGTGCTGACCATTTTTTTTTTTATTATTTAAGAAAAGCTTTAGCTGGACCTAACCCTTTTCCTCCTCATGAGTGGGCACAGTATTTCCACCATGTAAAAAAATCCACCTCCCCAACACCTGTACCTCAAAGAAAACTTACCTAAAGAATGTGCAGCTGTGGTTTTGGAGCTGAAAAATCGACCAAGTCCAAGGTCTCCAAGCTTTACTACCCCTGTAGCTGTAATGAACACATTAGCTGGCTTTATATCTAGGGGGGAAAAAAAAAAATTAAGAAGTTTAAAAAAGTCGCAATGAGGTTGGCAAGAAAAGCTACTGCGCTATTAATAACAGACCAAAAGAGGCTTTTATTTACAGCTAATTTTAACAAAATTTGACTGTGCTGTTCAGAAAGAGCGAGTCTGGGATTCGGAATGTCAAATTAACTATTTTAATAGTACAAACATCACTCAAGCAAAAAATTAAGAGCCATTGCAAGTATTTTAAAAAACAAGCAAACAACAAAAAACAAAAAAAAAAAAACCCACACCCAAAGAAGCATATCCAGGGAGTTCATTATTACTTTATATAAGCTATATATAAGGACTCCATTAGAACTAGAAAACCTCTCATTATGTCTTAAGTAACAGACCAAAAATGTTTTCAAGAACTGTAAGACATATTTTTCATCACTTTTGCTGATCAGATTACCCACAGTGGCATGATGTTATTTATTTGAAATAGGTAACTGATTCTCTTTAATAGCAGGCATTAAAAAAAGAAGCAAGTTTTACTCAGGAGAATGGTTATTTGAACTCGTCAATGGAATTGGGCTAATCAAGTAGAAACAAAGAAAAATAATGATGTATACCCCAGACAGTTATTTTTCACAACTAATATTCAGTTTAAGTTTTAATCCAATCCTTTAGAGACAACAGCAAAGATTTTTATTTTACGATTTTTAACAAGGTACCTATCCTGTTAGTCTTCTAAATAAACTGACCTGGTATTTGTTTGGCAACTGTGTTTAGCTCTTACTCAGCTCAAGAGCAACGCACTGTGGCTCAAAACTTAAAAAAAAAAATCGCTTAACTTTGGTAAGAGGGGATTACAGTTTTCGTAAGATATGGATAGAGTAAAAGGAATGGTTAATAACCCTTCAAACACCAGCATTTTCAGGTTTCCAACAAAAAGTTACAAAACCTTATAAGCTTTAGAAAGGAAGACAGAAGCGGCTATGTTATGCTGCTATCTGACCTATTTTTCAGGAGTTTGGATCACCCTTTGTGTAACAATCCAACACGGATATCAGCTCAACTTAAAAATAACTTTAATTGTCATTGGTTTTGGTGTGTAACCATGGAATTGTTAGATTTGCCATAGGTTTGCCAGAAGCTTTGAAGGTAGTATTTCAGTCTAAGGAATTTAAACTCATTTTAGTTTTGAGCTAAAATATACTGAAATAGACTAGTTCAGTCATAAAAGCATTAAAGGAAGATACCTATAACCTGTGGAAAGCATCTGTAGTTTTATGTCCTTCTCTTTGTATAATTGCACTTGCAGATATCTGTACAAATGCGTAAAGGAAAAAAAAAAAAAAGAAGAATCACAAAAGAAAGCCATTTGCAGAGGCATCTAAGTTGATCTGCTGAAGGGTGCAACATTTCTAGCTGCAAATGACAAAGCTCAGAGACGGAGGGACTTTTGCTTTCAGGCAGCTATTTGCATCCCAGCAGAAGGAAGCCACCAATCTAAGACATGTAATTTCACCTGAACCCAGAGAGACAGCCCGTATACAACTTGCAACTCATAGCCAGAGGGACTTCCAAGGCAAAAAAAAAAGTCGTACATCTGAGAAGCAGCTATGCTACGATCTGTTTTCTTTGACTCAGAGTTACAAGGTAAAATGAAGTCAACATACGGAGGAGACAGCAGTACAGAGGTTTAAAATGGGTAAAAGAGATTTAGTACCTGACAGGGATAGCTGGCAACTACAAGGGCTGTTGGGACACGGTACTTGACACAGAGATTGGAAATAGTGGAGAGGAACAGAGAAGGGGAGAAAATGCTCATGGCTGCACATAATCCAGTAGATAAGGGAGTAAGGGAAGGGCCTATACATCACCAGAAGGCATGGCAGGAGGCAAATACTTTTGTAAGAAAAAAAAGGTGCAAGAGGTGAAAAGAATGGATGGATAGCTGTGCAAGAATGCAGGTAACAATACTTGGGAGAGACAATGGGCAAATATAGAATAATAAGAACAGGACAGAAAATAAGAGCCAGCTAAATGAATTGAGCAAGCAAAGAGGTAGCAGTGGCAGGGTCTCCATCACTTACAGAACTATCACTTATTTTGAAAACTTGGTATCACAAGCCATTGCTGCAAACAAATGCCTACCACAACAAATGTACAACCACAAACTTCTGTCACACTTTTCCATTACTTACAAAACATTACAGAAACATACATTGTGTCAGCTGTCAAAATTGATTCCATTATGACATTATTTGGTGTCATTCGCATTGAACCAGCTTAATTTTCACATAGTAAAAGGTTTAGTAAAGACAAATCATCTTTGATCCTATATTACCTCTATGCATAACACGACGAGAATGCATATGTTCCAAGGCACTGCAAAGCTGAACAAAGTACTTCCAAACTGTTCTTTCAGGAATCAACCTCTTCTGTTTCTTAAAATGCTTAAAGAAAAAAGGATGGAGACTGAATATTAAAACTTAAAACTTGCATAAAATGACTGAAAAAAGATAGAAAATCCTTTATTTAAAAACCAAACAAGAGGCTCACAACCTGATGAGAAAGGTTTAACAAAATGTGACACAGAAAGCTTTCCCCTTAAATATTAATGCATGTATCATCAATGTGTGTTTAAGTCAGTCAACACAGAGCCACAAATGACATTAATGAAATAAAACTGCTATCCCAAAAAAGGATTTACATGGTATTTAGCAATCCTCAGTGCACGATTAATGTGGTCAGAATAGTCTAGCATAGAGTAAGTGGCCACGGAACAAATAAAGGTCAGATATAAAGGTATGTGGCCACAAAACGTCCCAAACGAAATGCTTCCTTACACCAACATTGATTTCCATATCCTCATTTTCCTAAATAGAAGAAAAAAATAGTAGTGACACACAATCACAAACAAAGATCATGTAAGAAGAGTAGATCAGATTAGTCTTAGAAACTTCTGCGATACATAAAAGGGGACTAAAGGAACTGTGATTTCTGAAAATTTCATAGCGGTCTAACTCCTGTTCAAATATTTTCCATCCTGTATAAACAACCATTACTGATCACTGGTAACGGTTCAATGGCCTGTTAAAGCTTACATGAAACATAATTGTGCTCTGCTACACACACCTCCTTCAAATATATTCAGGGACTGGAATAACACAGTCCTCCAAAAACACATACTGAAAACCTGGAATTCAGCCAATGCTACAACGTGAAAGTTTGATCATTATAAATTTTGCAGCTGAAAGTAAGAAGACTGAAAAATTGTTGCTCTTTTAGTCTCTCTTTTTAAAGAATTTGTATTTTGACAGATTTTAAACACATGAAGAAAATATATGAACAACATTAATACTAGCAAAATTAGATGGAAAGCGAAGTACTTGGATGTATTTTAATAGTGTGTGTACATGCACACTTCACAGTCATGCACACCCTAAGAAAGTTCATAAAACAAACATTTATTACTCTGGAAAAATAAAAATATTTTCATATACTATGTTAAAATGTGCCACTGAGAAGTTGACGGCTGTATCTACACATTAGAGACGTGCAGGAGTACGAGAAAGATGTTTTTAAACTAGCTATAGCAAAATGCATCAGTCATACAAAGGATCATAACATTTCACCAAAATGTTTTTAGTTATAGGGATTATTTCAAAATGCATTTTCATTTAAATGAGGCAAAGCATACAAATTACTTCTTTAAATATAATTTTCTCTCAGTCTTGGACTGAATCCAAACAAACCCTGTGTATCTGTTCTCCCTATAGCTGGATTTGCATATCAGAGGATTGTTTGATGTCAACAGGAAGATGGAGACCAGGTTTCTTTTCATTTAAAAACAAATACACAATACATGTGAGTATGTGCACATGAAAGCATAGTTCCTTGATTTAAAATGCATTCTGAAATTATCATAATTATAACTAGGTACTTTATTTAAACATTCTGAATTATCTTTTTTTTTAAACTAAAAATCTAAGCACAAGCAGTGATGAAACACCATTCACAAAATGTCTGAAGTGGGAAGATTTTCCATTACAGTTTCCATTCCGATGTACTTAAAGTGCATCAGTGCACTTTCAAAGTATTTATGTACAAGTATTCTTTTAACATTTTATTCATTTGCCATCTATAACACTGTAGCTGACTGTACACTACAAAATCGGCTTCAGTTCTTACAGTGCAAACATGCAATAACACAACAGTTTTTAATCCAGTCTCATTCTACTGAAGGTATTAATAATTTTGCCTTATAATAATAACTTCTCTTCCTGAAAGCATCAATAATATTATTAACCCTGTAGAATTTATCCATCTAAAGAGGATGCAGAAGAGAGCTGCTGGATTTACTAACAATGTTTAAACTAAACAAAGAAATAGGCACCATTTTCACTTGTAATCCGGTATTTTTAAAATAAACTCACTGAACATTATTTTCTGTAGCGTAATTAATTAAAATATCTTCCATCAAAATACATATTCTCAATGTTTTCTTAGGCTGTCATCCACCAATAGCCAAAATAGCGATGAAAAGCCTCCACTACCAAAAAAGATTTATTTTGCTATCGAAACAAGTTGTATGTTTCTAGGAAACAGTCCAGCAGGCAGTGTTAATTCTGAGAAAAGTCAATAAGGAAAAGGAATCCCATTCCTGTTTAAAACCTTACCTTCTAACAAGAAATATAAGTTGATGGAAAACATGGTCAAACCTATTTCATTTCAAACAGCATCATTAAATTCATATAGCACATATTAACTGTATTCAAAGCAGGATCCTTTTCTCTCTCCTCCATTTTAAAATAGTCCACAATGCAAAATGCAGTTCTAATGGTTGTGGGGTTTGCCCCCTTCCTACAGGGAAGCCAAAACGCAGAAGACATGATGCCAAAAGAATAATTTTTAACCTCTATTGCAGCAGAGCATAGTAGCACCACAAACAGTTAATACTGAAACTAATTCACAGCCTAGTGCTGTACTGTTTCAAGCATCCTAAGGTCCACATAATCAAGTTAACTTAATACAGTTACCTCCCACTGTATACAAGTTGCTATTACGCGCCCAAATTTGACCTCAAAGGAATACAGCCTGACATACAGCTTTCTAAAGTACTCTCACCTTCAACATTTTACTATTCTGCTCCTTCCACTTGTCTGAGGCTCAAAGGACAGTCCTGATGTCCCTCAGACCACTGACCTTCTAGGGTGTGACATTAAAAAAAACCCATAATCCTGTTTGAGGTGAAAGATCAGTCTCAACATAGTTGAAACTAGGCAAAAAGGGAACTGCTTGTACATGTGCATTAAAAATTTGGGCAGTGTTGCAAGCTAGTGTTTTATCAGCTAAACAGAGAATACCACGCATGCTCAGGCAGCAGACTGTCTCCCAGCAAGAATTATTTGTTTCAAAAGTCATATCCTATGAAATTTCCACCTCTGTCTTTGAGAATGGAATCACAAAAAAACTACTTTGAAGAGTTTTCACAATGTCAGTACAGATAAAACTGCAATTCAGTCATTTAATGCCACTGGAAATTTTTGTGGTCATAAATTGGCTATTCAAATGCCTTGAAGAGCTTTAAGGTAGGCAGGTTATATCACCAGTTCGTCTTTTCATCCGTTTTTACAGAATGACTGAGCAGTTGCGTTATGGCAAAACGGAACTCTCCTGGTTTTCTCTAATGAATTGCTAAAAGAAAAATTAAATATTCTCCAAATGTTTCCATCCTAGTAAAGTTAAATATAGCTGCCCTGCACCTAAACAGCATATGCCATTCAGTTTCTTGGAGGCATAAAAAAAAAAATTAAGTAAAAGGTAGACGGGGAAAAAAGTTTAAAGTCAATATAAAAGCATGGAATTATATTATACTGAGTTTCTAAAGATGATGCTTTAAAGGTCAAATTCCAAAAGCAAGAGTGACAGCAATTAGTAAATGGTCTTATCTAGGCTTAACAAGCACAGTTCAGAGAATACTCTTAAAGGAAATATGCATGACTATGTTTGGCTTTTATAAGAAAACTAAGGATTTCCTGCAGATCAGTAAAGACCAGTGAGTATGGGTGATTTCAGTACAATTGGAGCTTTCAGATATGACTGCCTACATCTCAGTAACCATGCTTGGAAAACATTTAGCATTCCGTTCCGACGTTAGTGTCACAGAGAATTTTAAGGTACGATTTAGTCTGGTTCAGACCCCACTGAATAGGAAAAAAAATAGGAATAAATAAAAAAAGATAAAAAAAAACAATGAGTGTTTAACAGCAAACTGGACTATAGAAAGCAAGAGGTTTATGAACATCTCTTGCAGAAAGATGATAAACTGATCATCTAAACAATTTTGCACAGTCATTATTTAAAAAAAAAGTCTGTGAAACTGTTAAATGAGCTCACAAAAACATATACCTGGATTTTTCACTGTGCATGCTCTAGGCTAGAGTTGCCTTCTGAAAGAGAGGATTTGGGGGAAGAGTAAAATGAGAATGATCATTTCCTTGCTTTAAATAGATTCCTTTTCCTTTCTTTCACGTCTTGATGAGGATCTTGATTGCATCTGTCTGTTCTCATGACTTCACTTCTGGCTTACAAAAATATAAAGAGGTGGTTGTTTTTTGCTTTTTTTATTTTATTGCATAGACTTATCATAACACAGTGATTCAACAACCAGATACTTGTGGGAAGAAATCTGAACTTCATCAAGAGGAAAATGACACAGAAAGGATTATTACAAGGAACTTCCAAGTAGCACGTAACAAAGTTCTTGGCCACTTCTGCCTGTGTTTCTTTGGGACTCTTTTTTAATATGGACTAGCAGAAAGAACAGAGAGAGGAAAGAGGAGGTCAGGCAGCTGTAATAGGAAATTATGGAAGTGTGAGCAAGAGTTCTCACTCTGTGAATACAACAGAAACAAACCAGAACTGGCAAGGGCATGCAGGGTCAAAAAGACACCAGTGAAGATGGACCTCAACATCTCTACATTTCGGAGTAAAGATCAGAGACTCATGTATATAGAAGTGAAGTTTCTACATAAGTCTTACTTTCTATTTAAAAGGCTATATAATTCTAGTAGGAAAGCAGTGTCCCAGGAGTTTTGTCTGGCTCTGTTAATTCATGAATTCAGTTGCCCGTCTCTTTAGACCGTGGTAAGTTTTCTGCCGTTTTTCCTTGCTTTCTGTGTAGAACAAAAATAGAACTTTCCACCACCTCTCAATTCATTCATCCACAAGGTGATCAAATTTCCCTACATTTCAAGAGTAGCAGCTGTCTCTTAGTTGTAAAAATAGAACAAATACAAAAGAACCCCAAACTATTTGGCATCTACCAACTGAACATACAGAAAGTAACAAGTACTTGGCCAATAAAATAACTAATAATAATAATAATAAATAAAAATATTTACCTGGTTCTTTTTCCTAACTTTTCTTGACAGTTGTTTACATCTCCAGT